TGATTCAATATTTTAAACTAGTAGTCACTAAAAGTTGGGGGTATACTTATTTGAAACAATAAACTATTTTATTGTTTTAAAAACACAATCAACTTTTGACGTCGGATAGTGAACTAAGTTACGAGTATGTTATTAGTTGCCATTGATGTTTATATTGAATATCTGTATTTAAAATGCAAGCAAATATACGTATTGAAGCCACGGCTAACGTTACAGCTTTACGTGGGCTTTAAGATCTAAAATATCCAATGAAACCCGCTTAAGTGTGTTATTTTGATGGATTGTGTGATGATGAATGATGAATCGTGGTGTATGATTTTATGTTATAACTTCTTAAGTATTGGGTCACAATGTCTAATAAGTATTTTTTTTTAAGTTGTGAGACGTTGAGCGAACAGATTATTAACCAGTTGTTACTTGTTAACCAGTCCCATCATCATTATCGACACCCTATGACAGTCCACTGCTGAACATAGGCCTCTCCTTAAAAAGTAGATTTTAGCCTATTCCAGTCTCAGCGACGCTTAATGTTGGGTGAATGTGAAACAAATGGTTCCAAACCAATTAAGCTTTAATTACGTCGAGGTTTTGAACAACATAAAGCTACTTACTATGACGTGTGCTACCTGTTTATCCTGTGGAAGAATTTAGTGAACTTATTTTATTCAAGATGACTGTGCGATACACGGTGCTGTTATTATTAGTGTTTTTATTACTGTCCCCTGATCTAAACCGTATAGAAAAAGTATGCGTCAAAGTCTTCTTAGTTGTATTATAAACAATGTAGGTGAAGGACCTACATTGTTTATAATAAGTATTAATAAAAATAAATAATGTAGATAATATTTATTTAAGTTAAATAGAAATACCTTTTTATTAGGGCACTTTAAGGGATGCGTTGCCTGTAATAGTAATAAGTTAGTTTATAATTGTAATATAGAGGTTAAGTTTTAATCTTCTTTTCCTTGAGAAAATAAACAAATTAAACTGTCAACCTCTGTAAACAACAAGAACTAACTAATATAACATTTAATATTACTAAAATAAAATTTTAAGATTAATTTTAAAGATAGATAATAATATAAATAAATTATCTTGTGAAAAATAATTACTTTTTAAAATTAAATACTCTACCCTTTTTTTCCTCAGGTTACAGATAGACGTAAGAGAATTCAAAAACTATGTAGTGCCATGACAACAAAAAGTTCAAAATGTGACCAAGATACTGAGGTTCGAACAGTCACCACTCGTAATCAGACAAACAGGGCCTCAATTCTGCCCAGGCCCAGCTGTAGAAGTAAGCTAGTCGTACCATTACGCCACTGGTTCAGAAGACTACTGTGTTGAATTTTAGCATCGCTTTCAAATATTGGAAGTTCAATACGAAGAAACACATAAATAGGTGTCTAGGTATCAAGTGTGGTGAGGGGGGAAGTGTTCTCCCCTGGGATAAAGCCTGATTAGGCATGGCGTCAATTCGGGGAGGACCTGAAATAACATGGTCCGGGTCCTCCCCAGAGTAGGACACCTGAACCGTTGACACCGTTGGGGTGGTTTTTAGTGGAATCACCACATACTTCTGGCTCCTGAGTCCCGGAGGACCAGGAGATCCGAAGGGATTGTTCACCCCGTCAAAAAAAAGGTATCAAGTGTGGGGCACATATGCATGTGACCTACCAACATTATACGTCTTTATTATCTGGTCACAATATGTGTGGGCATTGATGTGATTGTGGGCATCACACACACACACACAGAGATAGGCACCGAACCGGCTTGCGAATATGAACATTACTGTGCTACTGCATTTATGACCTTTAACTGTACGCTTAAAAACTTAAAAGTTACACACCGATTAGCTCAAATTTTTACATGATATACAGCACGCTTCACAGATGTTTTTTTTTATCCAGCTTTAAAAAAAAGTTTATTCTATACTTCGAGTCAGTTTTGTTCATCATTTCTCATCAATGCTACCATAATGTGCCAGCACAAATAAAACTCAACATGAAACCTGTTTAAAAGAGTTACCATTTAATACTGCTCACTGTAATAAAACTGCTTTTAAGCCGACTTCAAAAATAAAAAGAGGAGGTTCTCAATTTGACTGTACTGAATTTAATTATTTTGACAGCAAAATTATGATTTATAATAAACCATTATGCTATTTGGAAGTTATGATTAATAAAGCTAAAGCACCAGTAGCGATAGTTTGAGAACAATGAACGTTTGTATCCCGTCATCGGGGTGTAGCGTAGAAGCCATTGTGTGACGGTTGAACTGTACGCTCCCGTGAAGATTGCTTTTCGTGTCTCTCTACTTGTTCTGAAATGACCGACGCAACTTTAGTTAGCTAGTTCCCTGAAGCTTTCAGAATTTACAATAGATCTGAAATTGCTCACTAAATTTTAATTCCATCGTCACTTCTACTTTGTTTCACATAATTATGTCACCAAAAAGTAAATACTGGTTACTGATAAGCGCGTTTATCTGAAATCCTGCACTGATCCGACTTCATTTTAATTTTTTTTCTCATTAGTCCTTTTCTCTCATTTTATTTTATTAATATATTTTTAAATGCTTTTCGCTGATTCACAAAATTTCCAAAAACAAAATTATTAATTTTCGACAGTAAAACGGGCACCGAATTATCCAGTTTTAAATATTGTGTGATAAATTACAAATTTACATTTCTTTTCAAGCTATACGTGGTCACCTAGGAAATTACCTTCACCCTATCAAGACAATGAAGTGAGTTAGTATAAGCGAATGTTTCAGTTTTCTATAAGTGTGCTTAGAAGGACCCCGCCAGAGCTTTATTAAGGAATAAATACATGGCTGAAGTTATGGGTGAGCTTCGCTCACGATCAAAGATTAGATGAACATCATTAGCCCAGCAAGTTTTAATATATATGTATAGGGACAAACGAACAGACGGAAAAGTAAGTGTCAACCGCCGCCTAAGGATACCTACAGCTCAGAGATTAGGGATAATGAGAAGTCACGAAATTAAATTTGAAGGGCGTAAAATGGAGGACAAAAATTAGTATAAGAGACTGTATGCGGTGAAAGCTACGACCACCAGCTGTTTAAAATATAGTTAAAAATAGAGTGATTACTTAAATTGTACTTGTATGTTAAGAAGTCATATTTATAAAATATTCATTACTTCTTTCATTCTCAGCTGAAAGACGTCCACTCTTGGACATAAACCTCCCCAAGGTTTGCCCCTACGGTAGGACAAAATAAAAAATAAAATAAAAGATTAAATACGTATAAAAGTAATGTTTGTAATACAAAAATATATTGTGGAAAAAGGTGTCCTCTACGTCAGTGGCGTAAAACTTGTCAATGAAATATCGTAAATGTTGTGCTTAGCCACAATCTCTGAAAAACTCGTAGGTCGTCATATATTTCCTGAGATAAGCCACTCAGTATGACCGAATTTGGGGCCACTTTCTTACATAAACGGCTTCCCTTTTTTTATTATATTTTGTTGAGTTATATCTAACTACTGTCATCAACAATACTGGTTTGTGATTTATTTGAATACGGCAAAGGTGAAAATGTTAAAATTTATGACGGACATTATTCTAACCGTTATTATATGACATGTATACTGAGCTGACAGTTCTAATAATATCTTACACATTTTTTCTAAACAAGAAATGTATATTCGGTGAATGAGATACGACGCTTGGGGTTCTATTATTTACACAATATATTTTAGCGATAGCTTTGTGAAAATGTGATCGAAAACGATATAGACTTGATTTACCAAGACAGTGTTACTTTTATGTACAATAAAGCCGTCTATGGAACAGAATGCAACAAGTGTGTACTAGCAACAGTCGGTTCAGAACGAGCAAATATTGATGTCGGCGTTCGACGAACGAACCGGAACTTTACTGTAGATGTGATATGTTCCCTTCTTTGAGCGAGATCAATGCTTTCCAATCCACAATTTTGAACGGATTGAGTCACAGTTCCTTTAATCTTACATTTTTCCTTGCAGAAACAATGCCCTACAGCAGATCCTGTGTAAGTTTGAGTAGTTTAATAGTGTATCTTATTCTCATAGAGCAAAATTAGAATAAAAAAAGACTTAGTTTAAAGTTAAGTTTTTATAATTAAACAAAAAATAAATTTCTATGTACATGTAATGTGGCATGACATTTACGATGTGGTTTTCAGTATTAATATAATGTTATTTATAATGTGGGATGTATGGTGCAAAAAGAGCCTTTGTTATTTCAAAGCTATCGTGTCTGCTCAACCAATTGTTGTGCCGAAAGAAAAATCCTAAATAGAATAGAAAACATAACATAATACATACTAAGTAATAGATTTGCAAATAATATAATGGGTAATATAAGCTTTTGTTATAGATTCAATTCAGGAAGGCAACAAAAGAATAATGTAGGTAAACAAAGACGAATTAATATTAAACATCGATACATACATTATTGTGTAATAATAATATGTGTGTATATACTACATATTGATGTACTTATTACATAAATATCATTCTTATAATTTGGCTATTTAATAATTTATAAAAGGCACAGTATTTAGCGTATTATCTATACTAATATAGACTTGAAGACTTTTTGTAGATTTGAGAATTTCTTTTTGTATTTGACAATTTAAATACTCGAGTAGGGTCATGGGTTATTTGACACCAAGCTACGATCTTTAGGACAAGAGGAGTGGCTATGATAGCTTGTAAAACTTCCAGTTAAAAATATTGCCTTAGAAAAAGAAAAAAAAATAGTGAAGTCGCTAAACTCGCGAATGGCACAACAGACAAAAAATGATTAACTTTGTGATAAAGCCTGTTATACTTAATAGCTAATCACGTCGCGATAGTCCTGAAGAGGATCCGCTAATAGTATTTAATCTAATCAAAAGTTCATACAAGTACTGAAAGAAAGAAAAAAGTAAACAGGACGCATGAAAAATAAATATTGAAAGAAATAAAGATTTACTATAAAACTTACCATGGTTCTTTTAGACGAGTATGAACAGAATGAGGAATGAATCTGAAATAAGAAAAAACGACTACGTAAGTAAATATGTAGAACAAATATCATTTTTTGTTTTGTGTACGTGACCCAAATGTTAGTAGAAATAAGTGTATTTATGTACGCATCTACATATATATATATATATACAGGTTAGCCTCTGCCCGAATAAACGATCTACACGTAATGAAATAGAGTGACTATGGAATTAAATTTATTAATTAATTAATTCGAAAATTTTCAGGTGTGAATGCAATTCGACCGGCATTAATGTAATATTGCACATCATGTCGATTCCACCATGTGAAGGGAATTGATAGACATGACCCAGTTTAGCTCTGAGGCATATGCACCAATGTGAATAGTTTTTAAAAGTCAAACAGCAGCGTTGTGAGAGACTTGTCAATAGAGGCAGATGAGCTTTATTCGTTTACGACGTAGATGTTGAATTTATTACTTCGTAAACATGGAAGTGCACTTCTTTCCACCGTATTTAGTGGCAAAATAATCACATTTAATCCTGTATGCAAGAATTTTTAGCAAAAAGGTTTTAATTTTAAGGATTTAGTAACTTTTCACAACCCTTTCACCGTCGTATACATTTCTCGTTTAATACTAATAGTAAATCTCTTTATTCAGGTATCTTAGACCCATACAAATTGTTACACATACAATTTTTTAAATAAAGGTTAAAACCTACCGGCTATCATAACCAGAATTTGATTATTTAAAAACTCTAAAAACTTATTTTTTTTGAATTATGCAAAATTAATAAAATCAAAATACCTAGTTTCTTTCCATAAAATTTTAAGATCATAAGCAGACTGCTTTCGTGACGTACATATTTCATAATAACATCATCGTACTTAATGTAATGACGACAGATTCTCGTAAATCTTTTCTATAGACAAGTCAATATTATTATATGTTCGTTAAATTCCACTTATCATAAAATGATACTTTCTAGCGGTCCATTAAGTATAATAATAAAATCTTACTTAAATTATATTAGAGAAATATCAATGTCAATATTAACAATAAAACTCGTAATGCCTATTCCTTTATTACGCTTATACAACTAATTCAATGAGTCCATTTCGATTAGATATAATTAGTTCCGTTTCTGTTATATGTATGATATTCTTATGACGACACTTAGTAAAAAAAATATATTTTTAGTCATAGAAAAATTACTACTCGACTTTACAATCATGTATTTCAGCAGATAATATACAAAAAAGTAAGGTACAATATAATAATACTTTAGAGCCACTTCATCCAGCACCACCACGGTCAGAGATCACAATTCCAACAGTACAATATTTTGTGCCAGTGTCTAAGGTTACTGTTACCAAAGTTTAAAGATATCAGCGATAGTTGATCAAACGCAAAAATTCACACTCACTGGTCAAAAATGCGTTCAGAACCTATTGGTTCTTTAAGCGTTTCTTGTCTAGTAAATCCTTTAATTTCATAAAGAAAAAGTAAATAAGGTAACTCATTATGTTTCTGTATTTTCAATAACATGACACGAACTTAGCAAAGCTTTTCAATTACTTCTTTATAACCATGCATTGTTATTAACTATGTGAATGCGAGACAAATATATTGATCAGTGTGAGCGATCTAGTTTGAGCGAAGTAATAATTTTATTTTAATAATAAAGTGCAAATCATATAGTGCTCAAATATTGAAGCAAACTACATATACAGAATATTCCTAAAATATTTTACGAGTATTTAAGCGTAAATAGGTATATCTTAAACGATAAGTGTATGAGAGAATATTGTTATCAGGAGATTATTCCCAAAAGCATAACTCTGCGAATAGCACCTTTGTTGTGAGACTTGTAACGGGAATAGTTTGTTAAACTTATTTGTTCTTGTGAGTCACATTGGTCTATATATAGCATATTCGAAATATATTGCAAACATATATTTGTTATTATTATATAGGTATATTATTATTAGATTTGCGGTTGCTTAGATGGGCAATTTCAAATATATACGTCATATTATTTTGGGTCTAATGGTAAGTAACCGCAACTGCTAAGACCGAGGTCGTGCGTTCGATTCCTCCCCAGTATAAATAATTGTGTGGTGGGCACGATCATTTATTGATTCTGGGTGTAATTTATCTATCTGCCGCCGAGACGAGTCAAACGAAGCGCAAAGGCACTACCTACGTTTTCTCGAAGCGCTTCGTCATTTGTTTGAACCCTCCTAGCTTAGGTTTGGCTTGTAATAAATAATCAAAACTCTCGGGATATGATGTCAATAAAAGACTTATTAAACATATATAGTTTTAATTGCATAGCTCTAATACCAAATTTTTCACATTACGCCCATGGGACGGTAGTTAAACCGCCAAACCACATATTTTGACTAAGGTGAAGAGTTTGTAAAGGCTTGTAGAGTTAAGGCGTGTAGAGTTAGAACCTTGGCTCTACATAAGATCTGATAACTGTTTGACAGTGCGAGTCATATGGTTTCGTCTTAGCAACATCTTACATTCAAATGTTTTTAGTTCCCTGTGAGGTTATAAAATAAGAGTTGAAAGATTAACCGACTTCAAAACAGAGTAGGTTCTTGATTCGACCGTGTTTTGTATATGTTACAACGTTAAGGGTAAAAAGTGAGGAAGAAATAGAAAAAATATTTTCTCATCACATATCACATCAATAGACTTTAATAGTCCACTGCTGGACATAGGCCTCTCCTTAGAAAGAAGGTTTTGGCCTACTATACCACGCTGGCCAGGCGGGTTGGTATAGGGTTTGTGTCAAGTTTTCCGTCTTTTTGCAGTGCTGGTGTCCTGCGTTGTTTTGCGCCCTTAGTCGGTTCTTACGACACCCACGGGATGAATTGGGGTAGTGACATTCCGTATTCTTAATCCGTCACTACACATCACATCAACAGCCTTTAATAGTCCACTGCTGGACATAAGCCTCTCCTTAGAAAGGAAGAAAGGAGGTGTACATAATAACTTTAAATAAAATCGCATACTTTGTAAAGTAAAATAAAAATGTTGTTCTTCGCTTTAAGTACTTATACGAGTATATGTGACCTCTAAGAGCGATATATGGGTATCATCATAAAGAAATCAAAAATATTTTGTATCATTTCTTATAAAAAAGAATACAGATGGAAAGCTTACATAACATAAAAAGGTTGTACGTGTTCTATTACGTCGTATCATTTGTAAAATGTTGTTTTAATATACAACACTTCCATATGGGTAACACTTTTTTTACTAAATAAACATCAACGTCTCAGTTAATATTAAGATGGATCATAAAACAATGATGTAACAGTTTTTATCTTATCAGAGGTCTAGAGCAAAACAGTTAAAGTTTCTTTCTTTTTATTTCATTTCTTGATTTAGTAAACCTGTTAATACTTTTATTTCTTTTTAAAATAGAGATTTCCTTATCTAACATTCATTAATTTAGTTCTTATGAATTTTAATAATTTAATTCACTATTTTAGTACGTTTCGATGTTGTTTACGTACGTACGTATGTATTTACGTTCAGAATCTGTTACACAGCATTTGAATGAAAACTTTTATGAGTACTGTTCTAATTTACTAAATGCGTACATGATTATAACAGCAAACGTATTCTATGCCTTATCTATACCACTTCAATCTTAATCAATAATAATCTACTTTCGCTTTTTTATGAACATTATTGAACACTTTTTTATCTATTTTAATTTGACGTAGAGAATTTCGTCTCAACGTGCATCAGTGAGCTTCATACTAGCTGCATTGGTCGTATAGTGAATTATAGAAATATTTTTTGTTATTCTATATACTAAATATATTTGTGTTAATATAACTTACATAACGGTATCGAGGGTGTACGCAAGAGAATGCAGTGAACGGCAAGTGCCGACACGCACCGTCGTCCAGTCGAAATCTGATTACGAGAACAATGTATTGTGTTCGGACGATCCGTCTCCTCGAATATCCGCATTTGAATGCTAATTGAGTTATCGAATTACACTCCTTGTTATTTAGAGTAATCAAATTATAAGTTAATAATTGAGTTCATCTATTAGTCTATAACATCAATAACTTCAAATATTGTTTTTACATATTTTCCGTAATAAGGATTTCTGTTTGTAACAAATCGGAATATGTTGTCTTTTATATGATAATTTTCTGAGGTCTGTTTTCTTCTTGAAATAAAGTTCGCATATTAATGCCTGTTCGCATATTAATGGTATTAACCTGAGTGCCGTTGACATCTACCTACAATTTAAATTAATTATTAAATAAAATTTTGTTATACATGACGGAAATAGTGTATTGACATGTATTTTACTAATTGTTACAAAACATATGTTTTTGTTTTATCTATTCGCAAATAGGGATATACAGGTTTGGTTAAGTTTATAATTCATTAAAGCAGTGAAACAACAAGACTAAGCTTAATCTAATAGAATGGTTGTTTAAACAATCAACATTGACTTCGATTACGAAGGAGGAAGAAAGGTATCGACGACCGAAAAAATCCAATCACTCATACTTTAGAGCTGGAATGGTCACCCACAGTGAAATGCTCCCGGAATAATTTTCAACTACAACGAGACTTCAAGGTCAAGAAGGGTACAAAACGGTTTTGCCACAATCGGCAAACCGCAAACGTTACCTTTTTTTGTTTTGTATTTGCAAAGCGCTTTATTTTATCTGCTTTATTAGGTACTTCCTCAATGAGGGGTTCCAATTTGAGCGGATATTACAGTATACTTTATTTCTCGTGTTCGTAAACTTACGTAGAAACCCCGAACGGCTAGCCTAAGTTTCAAACTCTCAAACAATGATTGGTTTGTTATTCATGTCACGGAGGAAGTATAACAAATAATTACCTATTGAATGATACAAAGTTAGATTGCATATGCAAATGTTTACAGACGTGGCTTTGAAGTCCTCTTAGGTAAGACTTTTAAACAGTAAAATTGTCTTTGCTCTACA